AACAGTAATAAAGAAAATAGAATCGTACCTACACATGCTTCAAAAATCAACAATTCAACTAAACTAAGGAAATATAATTTTCAAATACCAAAACAAAAGGAACAATTTCGACGAGCTAGCTTAATGTCTAAGTTGTTTCCAATTTTCGAAGGAGGATCTTTCCTAATGTAATCAGTTATCAGGTTATGACTTTCTAATATTAATCATGCCAGCTTACTTTGACTTTTTGGGAACAAGTTTATTTGTTTTGCTCATTGTTTAATTAACAAATGACTTTCATGTTTGTTATAAAACTTAAAAAAAAGTAGAAAATTAGAAAAGAGAATTAAAAAGAATGGAAGTCAAAGTATTTCTCATACCATTAATTTAAGATATTGAATACATGATATATATATATATATATAGCTTTTATTTATATGTACAGTTTTACATCTTTGACAAAATCTAAAAATTATTTAATAATAGAAGATAATTGTGGGATATAGATATAATGAGAGATACTACTTCCGGTCCTAATTATAAGAACTAGTTAACTAATTTGAGGAAATTAAAAAAAGAAGTTAAGTTAATTATTTGCAATAAACAAATGTTATTTTTCTTAAAATATTTTTGCTAATCAAGTTTATTGGCTAGAACTACTATAGTTAAAAAGACTACTTTTGAGAAAAATACATAAATATGATAGACAAAGTAGATTGAGATATTATATTTAAGACTAAAATAAAAATTAAACAAGATCTTATATTAAAGATCGGAAGTAGTATTAAAAATGATAAGAGATAATAGGAGATAATTTGATATCCATAAAAATATTATTATATTCGTAACAACGTTTATTTTTACTGGATGGGGAAAGGGAGGAGAATCTGATACTTTTTTAACGCGCACGACACACGCGCTCATACATTATGGGGAAAAGTCGTTGTGAATTGAGTTTATAAATTATGCTAATTTTCTGATCCCAAATATAAATATAAGAGTTAATTAACTAATTTGAATAGACTGAAAAAATATGTTAAGTTAGTCATTTGTTATAAATGGTTGTTGTCCTTTTTAAAATATCTTTACTAATCAAGTATATTAATTAAAATTATTATTATTAAAAAGACTATCTTAAAAAAAAAACATAAATATGAAAGATAAAGTAGATTAGGGTCTTATATATATGATCAAAATAAAAATTAAATGAGATGTTATATTAGTACTGCTAGCCACGCTGAATAGAAGTTGAATTTTTTTTTTTTGGGGGGTTTCGGCGCAAGTTGAAAGTTAAAATCATAATCAAGTCATAGAATAGATTGGGTCAAACTAAAAAGGCTTTGAAGTACCTATTGCTGATTGGGCCTGCATAATAGATCAATGACCTCTCTTCAGCTATATTAGCCCTTACATTATATGTTGAGTTTACTTATTTGGGAAAATAACAAATAAAAAGGCTGAAAAATATCATATCAAATCAGGTACCTAAAAATTAAAAATGAAAAAAAAAATCTGATATGATATTTTACCAATGTAGTTAAATAACTAAAATATCCTTATATCAAAAATCTTACTAACAAATTTTGAACTAACAATTATAAGCGTCGAACAGCAAATAACAAGAAATACATTGACAATGACAAATTATTTATTAACAAATTATGAATTGATAATGATAAGTGTTGAATAATAAAGACGAGAAATATACTGATAATAACAAGTTTGATAGCTTTTTTTGTCAAATCTAATACAATAGCATTTTAGTCATTTAATTATATCTGCAAAATATTTAATCAAGCATTACTTTTTTTTCCGTCATTTTCAACCCTTAGGTACTTGAATTGAAAAGTGATAATTTCAGGGTTTTTTTTTTCCTGCTTATTTTCATCCCCACTGCCACTTTTTGTTACTTTCTCTAAAACGGACCATTAAGCCAATTCTAGGAGCAAACCATATTTTAAGAAATAATTGAACAAATAAAAAAGAGCGATATAAAAGCAATTGAAAGGGGGAAAAAAGTGGCAATTTGAATCAGTGGGTAATTTTTGCATCCTCAACAATCTCCTTTTAATTAAGAGGCCGTCTTTGACAAAGGAGTTAGGGGGTAGTTCTTTCCCTTTTGGTTAGGTGTTTTGTGGTTTTCCGAAGTTGTACTCGGTTATTATTTTAAAAAAAAAAAAAGAATCAGCAAATAAATATATTAATGGTAGGCATTTGAAAACAACGCAAGGGACCATCATCCGTCCGATGCAGCCAACGAACAAAACAATTTCTATGAAAGAAACGGGAGCAACACATGCGAATACTTGCTCTACCACCTTGAAAACTCTCAAGCAAATCACACAATGATGCAACCCTTGTACTTGTTCAAGCTCTACCCTTTCCAATCCCTCAGTGGATGAATTAGTGGCAGGAACCGACACATTATTATGTTGATGTTTCTCCATAGATGCCTCCACAGTTTGATTATAATCATCACTGTGGTAGTAATAAATGTAAACCTCAATATGATCAATCATGCTCAGAATCCTGTCATTTCTGTGTGTATTATTAAGCATGTTTCCTGCAAGATCCGGGATTCTGGTTTTCCATGGAGTCGTGATCAGGCTCAGGGATATCCAAAGTAGATAAAACGTCGCTTGTTATTTGCGGTACTATGTCCTCTGAGATCCTGCGCACGGTCTGTGTAATACATATTGCTCTAAATCCTATTAAAGCCAGGGTGAGGAACTTCATAGTATTGTTTATCTCTGATGAATGTCGAGTGAAGTATGGATCGCCCCATTACGATGAGGTGCATCATCGGGATGAAGAGAATAACCCATCAAGAGAACATGACAGCAGTATTCGCAAAACTGCCTTTTGGAAAGAAGGGGAAATTTCGAAGTACGAAGTTGTTTGAAAAAATGGGGAGTGCTAGATTGATAAGGGAATAATATATAATAATTAAACATGAAAACTGAAGAAATCAATCGATCCATCTTGTTTATCTTTAAAAAGTATCAGATGAAACTCATATGATCTAAGTTTTTGCGTTTTATATTAAAAAATATTTTTTTGGAAATGGTTCCCTAGGCTTCGATTACTGGCGTTTGTAACAATTTTCTCGTGTAAGCGTATACCGACAAACACAAAAAATTATCGTGTAAGCCCACTTGCCTATGATCCAACATGCTCAGGGCTACCTTTGCTTCCTTCCTCTCTCTCTTCCCGTTTCTTCATTTTTTTTTCGTTTATTTTTCTTGTCACTTTCTTACATTGCATTTTCTATATTCTTATTATTTTAATTATTCGGCATTTTATCAATATCATTTGCATTGATATTTTTCAATATATATACACTTAATATCCGATAGTTTGGACTAAATAATAAATCACACCATATAAAAAATATTATCTATGCATAAAAATTTTTATTAGGAATTTCCCTTTCTAGTAGATTTTAGTATGAGTTGGAGAAAATATTTTTAAGGTGTATCAAAACTCGCTTTAACGGAAGTTAGTGATACATTTTATATATTTTAAAAGAAATCACATGAAGGTTACTCATTATATTTCAAAAGAACTTGTGCGAGTGATGTAGATCTAAATTTTTAATCAAATTTAAAGTAAAGTGAAATTATATCTTGCGAATTATTTAAATTTTGTTCTTAATAATATTTGATGAGTTTTGATATGTATTTTGGGTGAAGATTATCCATACAATATTTTTTAAGATGTGGTTTGTTAATGCTTTGAGTATTTTTCAAAAAAAAAAAACGCATCAAGTAATTCTTGATAGGAAATATAAACTTCATCATGACAATTGTTACAAACAAAACCCTTGTCATTTGTGTCTTGAAATATCACTAAGAAATTTAACGAAATTACCACACATATATACTAACTATACTGCACTAAAAAAAGTATTTTTTTTTTAATCGATAAGCCTTCTTCTAACAAGTTCTCGTATAAAATATTGAGCAGTTGAAAGCAAGCTTCATTTGAAATGCATGACTCTGGCTTTTCGAATTTTGAAGACAACATCGTCCAGGACGAAGGGGTTCACGCAAGGTTTCCCGTTTAATGAGATGCTTATTTCCTCTATCATTGTCAGCGCAGCTGCAATGTAAAGTTTCCGATGCGTCTCTCAATTGTCAATGACAATCACCACCCATTATGATCGATCTTATCATAAATATTATTACCTCTAATCCTAATTATAAAAATCAGTTGACTAATTTGAAGAGATTAAGAAAGTAAGTTGAGTTAGTTATTTGTTTTAAATAGGTGTTGTCTTTCCTAAAATATCCTTACTAATCAAGTGTATTGACTAAAACTATCATTGTTAGAAGGACTATTTTGAAAAATATATATATATAAATATGAGAGACAAAGTGGACTGGGATCTTATATTTAGAATCAAAATAAAAATCAAACAGAATCTTATATTAAAAACTGGAGGCAGTATATAATTTCCAAATATGAAAAGCGATGGTTTGAAATTAGGCTCAATAATAGGCTTTTATAAAGAAAAGCGGGGACAGTTACTTGGAGGAAAAGAAAAGGCAACAAATCACTTTAATCGAAGTGGTAATAATTGAAATGTTCAAATTAAGGAGCCTTGCATTGGCATTGAAAAAAATAGCCTCACGAGGCCTGAAAAAAGAAAAAAGAACAACACATGCTTAGTGGTCTTCGAAAATTCCATGGCCTCCCCGCGTCAACAAGCACAAGGTAAACGCGCCGCTGAGCTCATCAATTGTGATTTTATTTTCTTGTCTTTGGGTGTGTTTGGATAGAAACCAAACCATGGTTTCAGAAGTACTTTTATGGATTACGAAGTAAATATATAGAAAAAATTATCTCGTTTTATAAAAAAGTGCTTCTGAAACCACGGTTTTAGGATATCCAAACAGGCCTTTTGTACCAAATATCTTTACTTAATGAAAGTCATTATTTTTTATATTTATTTATTGATTATTGACGTTATTAGACAAATGGAGTTGCCTTTTCCGAAGCCGTGACTAAGTGCGCGGATCTGGCTACCTGACTCCGTTTTGTGCCAATAAAATGCAGGGCCTCCGTGCTCCCACGCCATATCATTTCCGAGTCTTCATCTTCCATCTTCATCTCCTTCGCATTCTTTTTCTCATGGCGCAGAAAAAGAGGGTCAGAAATTTCATTTGCATTCTCAAAGACAAAGCCTCAGTTTTCGCAGCATCGCTATCCCTCAGACGCCACGTGTCTACTGTTCGCGTCTCCATCCTCCGTGCCACCACCCACAGCCTCTCAACTCCTCCGTCGGAGGCCCGAATCCTCGCCGTCTTTTCCGTGGCCAGCAACGGCTCTCACCTTCTACCGCGTGCCTGCATCAACGCTCTCATCGACCGACTTCACCGCACACGCAGCGCCGCTGTGGCCCTCAAATGCCTCCTCACATTACACAACGTCATCGTCCGGGGACCTCTCACTCTCAGGGACCACCTCGCTTGTTACCCTTCCTATGATGGCCAGAATATCCTCAACCTCTCCGCCTTTCGCGACGACTCCGACGTCGAATCGTTGGAATTGTCGTCTTGGGTTCGATGGTACGCTGGTGTTCTAGAACAGAGTCTATCTGTTTCGAGAGTCTTGGGTTACTACTTGAGCTCATCTTCGAGCATCAACGTCAAGAATGCCAAGAAAGGCACGCATGATAGGAAGACTTTGGGGCTGTCTAATTCGGAATTGTTTCATAAAATAGATGTTCTTGTAGGTTTTGTAGAGCAGATAAGTCGAGTGCCAGAGTCATTACAGCTTCAGAGGAACGATTTGGTTTATGAAATGGTGAGATTAGTGGGTGAAGATTATAGAATTATTCAATATGAAATTTTCCTGAGGGTAGAAGAACTGCGGGACAGGGTGGAAGAGTTGGAAGTGGGCGAGATGGCAGAGTTGGTGCGTGATTTTACAAGATTGCAGGACAGCAAGGAAGGATTGGTACTATTGTTTGTGAACAGGAAAAGAAATGACGGCTTCTGGGAGTTGATTGAGCAGACAAAGACGAAGGTGGCGACGAAGAAGGAGGAGAGAGAAGGGAGGTGGCTGACGGTGAAGACGAGCAGGAGAGACGAGGCGAGCGAGTTGACTCGGTCTAACAACCCGTTTCTAGAAGCGGGACAATGGATTCGGGTTCCTGCGACCCGGTTGCCTCGAATGGTTCCAACGGTCGGATAATAACGGTAGACTTCACCGGATCCCAAAGGTATGCCTATTTTTGTCTTTTCACTTTTTGGTTGGGCCTCAAAAGAAGTTGCTTTAGACTTTTTTTTTGTTAGCGGGTGGCTTCTTGATTGCTTTGTGTAAATAGTCGTTAAAAACATTTCACCTGAGTTTTCGATCCTTAATATGTGTATTGATAGAATAGGATATGATTTTTTTCCATCACACCGGGAACCGGGGTAAGGTACAATAAAAAGCTTCCCCATGTGGTTAGAGCAGGGAAAAGAGGAAGGAATTTTTTTTTTTTTTTGGTTACAGGTTATTGACATTGTTTTTGTAATGAAATATTCAAGTCTTGGATTATACGTGAGTGATTAGTGATTAGCCCCTAGCACTATTATAAGTTTTTTAAGCTCTGACCTTGTGCCTTAGCTATTCAAATTAAATGGTCGATCATACGCAACGACACGTACTATTAAATGAAGTGGTGATTTGACACCAAAAAAGAATGAAATGGTAATGAGTCTTTTGATTAGAGTTGACTGACCATTAAAAATTTGATAATTAATCGGACGCAGCAGTATACTGTGATACTTGGGGCAGTTCCCGGCACGTCATAAATTTTGCAATCAGGGACTTTCATTATCGTTGATTTTGTTCTCGCAATTCCCACGTAAGCCACGATCGGGAAATAAATAATGAACAGCAAACTAATGAAAAGCAATCCGCATCGGAGGCAAATGAACAACGGCAACTTTGAATTACAATGTTGAAGGAATGGAGGGAACATGGCGTTAAAATGAGATTGTAATTGATGATCAGCGTGGACTAGAGCTTGACCAATTGTTAACTCGAGCATTAGCTTTATCGGCCTGAAAATTCAAGAAAGCAAAGTCAAAAATCAATTCCCAGAAAAAAAAAAAAATGGCAGGCTGATGCCAGAAGAGAGGGGCTATGACCTCTTTATCCCAGTCGCATCGTGCGGTGATGATGAACAGTACGAGGGTTTGAATGGCGGTTCCCCCAAAGATCATGCCGCCCCATATACCCTGTGAAGAGCATGCCTTAACACAGTCAAATGAGTTGTCACGTATTTGGAAAAAAGCAGCAGAGACACGGAAAACGATGATACCTGAACACCCAATTTGAAGGCCCAGCCCAACAAGAATCCAAGTGGGAGCCCAATAACGTAGTAGCATCCTACGTTTACATATGCTACCGTGGCCTGCCACCCCGAACCCACTGCCACTCCTGCGCCATCACATTTTAACAGATCAAACATTTCCTCATCACCAGTTTCTGGTTATAAGTGAATGAAGTAGGGGGTGGATTTGGATGGATACCAGACAAGACGGGCTGAACACTGTTGAGGAGAATGGTGATGGCTAAGAGGTAAGCAATGTGGTCGACGGCCTGAAGCACATCAGAAACGGAGGTGAAGATGGAGGCGAGTTGATGGTGGAATACAATTATTATGACGCAGAAGAAAAGCCCGATCACCGATGACTCTGTCACTGACACCTGCATCGCAAATTTTGCCGCTTTTCCATTCCCACTTCCCAGCTCGTTCGCCACCCTCACCCTGATGAACATCATCCACTAATAACATTGTGATTCGATGTTTAAGCCAGACCCAAGGCCACCCTGTTTCTGCTGTCAGCTTCTAATTACTTTGATGATGTGAAATATAACGCGACATAAATTCTGAAAAGTCGGTGGCCGTTGGTGAAAGAATGTATTCGGCCGCCAAATTATTTAATTTAAAAATAAAACCCGGAAAATTATAGTATGTATGCTTTTATTAAAACTGTGTCCCTCACTTATTCAACATATCCTACAGTTTCACGCACTCGTTGCATGATTCATATAAATCGTACTATCAGAATTAGCTTGTTGGCTCTTGTACGTTTTAATTCAATCCTTTGCCATTAGAGTGTTAGGGAGAGAAGCGAGCGAAGAAAAAGAGTAATTAAGAGAATGAAAAGGGTACCCAGCACCGGCGAAGAAAGCCAGAGGAACCATTAGTTCCCATCCGTTGATGGTCATGCTGCGAAAACAAAATCCGACCGTCACATGCTGCTTCTTGTGCAAAGTAGACAAAAACAGAGTAACCGAAGCTACAAAGTATAACCAAGTTCTATTACCATATGGACAAGGCATCCACAGCAATTGTAGCATTCTTCAGATACCCAGTCATCAGTATGAGTATCCTGTAGTACCAGTTCTCTAAGCTGCAATATTAACAAACCCAGCTTACATTGTGACGCATGTGATTTCTCTCTTTCAACCCGTCGTAGACAGTAAATTAAAGAAGCGTATAACCATACCAGAGCATCACCCCAGAAGCAACAGAGAGTTTGAGGTATTCCCAGAGTCCCGAAAAGGCTTCAATGGAATAACCAGTCCAAGTTAAAGGACATCCCCCACAAACCACGTACCCGTACATCCCAACCACCAAAACCCACCACGATATGTCCAGAGCTATGGCCGCACCAACCACCCCAAAATCCAGCACATACACAAAGAGCCAACTTGTTACCACATTAACCACTAAACCCACCAACGAAACCCATGCCACTACTCCTGCCTTCAGCTGGCTCTGCAGAAACCTCTGCAAAGGGAACTGAAACGCAAAGCTGAAGTGAAGTGGTATTAGCCACAGTGCCACAATCCCGGACTCCTCTGCCACGTCTTCTGATTGTCCTAACAGTTTCAATATCGGAGCAGCGAACACGTACACGGGCAGCAGCAAAAAACAGCACAGGAACAGAACAATCCATGACCTTTGCATAAATATTCCCAGCATGCGATGCCTCCCTGCCCCGAACGCCTGCCCGCACAGCGTCTCCAACGCGCTTGCCATTCCCAGCTGTTTCAAGAAAATCGTTAGAGAAAGAACAATTAAAGTGAAAAACGGACAGTTGTTGGAAGTTGCTCGGATTCTAGAAGGTACGAGGAGACCGAAGTTGAAGCCGACAATGACAGTGTTGGCGATGGAAATGGCGGCAAGAGGAACCTCGCCCAGGTGACCGGCGAAGGCTTGGGTTACGACGTTCATGGTGAAAGAGGAAATGCGGGCGAAGATAGAAGGACCCACGATGACCCATAGTTTCTGGGTTTCAACCCAGAGCTTTCTGGCAAATGTTTCTTTTTCTGGGAGGAGAGTTTGGCTGAGATCGTCGTCGTCTGCATGGCTCGTCACGGTTTCCATGGGTTGTGGATCTTGCTCCCTACTTCGTCTTAAAAGTTAAAATTATGGTGACGGGTCCGCGACGGGTCCGGAAACGTAGCAGCTATGCTGCGCCCTGGCTCTTAATTCCCCTTCTCCTTCTTGGGTTCCACGAGTCAGTTTTGAATCGGAGCATGTCAGTCCGTACTATTTATAGCATCCGAACTCTAATACTCTAGGATTTTGTTTTGATTTAGTACTAATATCCATGACATTTTTTTTTCGAAAAAATGTTTTAATTAGGATGAAGGGAACCGACGGCTCACAAATGGGACTCATGCTGCAAAATGCAAATTATATATTTTGAGATCACAATGATATGCCTCTTTGCCCCTGTTGACTGGTTTAGGTCGTTTACGCTCATTACTTTCTCACCACTTCCCATTTAATTTGACCGTCATAGGAGCTCTCAGCGCCACCCTATTTTGGGCAGTTATCGGCGTTAATAAAAAGCTGCACTATTGAATACTGATGATAACTGCATTGGGTTATCTAGTTACGTAAGTAGTCGTAACCAAATGAGGAATCACGTTGCTGTTGGTTTAGGACGAGCGGCTATGGAATAGTTGACTCTCATCACGCCACCAAGAAAGAAAGAAGGAACACTCCCCGCTCTCCACTCGCCGTTCTTCTTCAACAAATACTTTTTAAAATGGCCACACTCCGACAGTGAGATAGAGATAATAATGATATGCGAGGCCTTAGCGAACAAGTTAAAATATTATCATTATTCATAATTAATAAGTATAGACTACAACAATTGGCCAAAACAGAACTACAAATTATTTATTATGCGAAAAAGACATCAAGTATCGTTTTCCTTTTATTAGTGAAGAGTTATGTTAGTCAATAACAAAAACATGTCAACAGACTAATAAATTATATATTCGATTTCTTTTAAACATATCGATGATAATGAGCACTTTTAAGAATTGCAGAAACCCAGTCTTTTCCGGGGAACGAATCGCTGAAACTTCTAAGTACAGTTGATCGCATATTTGAGCAATTGAGCAAGACAAATATATGCTTCGAGTGTAAAATATATCGTTTATTTGGTTCCCATTCTCAATGTTATCTTCGTAGGTAAAAAGAAATAAACAAAAGAACCTGCCAAACACCAGCGTGCCAACATACATGAAACTGACACAATATTTTCGCAACATACAAGAGCTGGAAATAACTTAACCAAGTTCACTCCCCAAGGCAAGTCTACCTAACGGTCTAAGCATATTGCTTGGGCAAATGAGATGAAATTGAATGGCGTGCCAACCTCCAGGAAAGTAAAATGAGGTCGTCCATACTACTCTATTCCATGTCCCTTCATTGGGAAAAATCAAAGCCGTTGATGATATACTGCCAGAATCATTGATGATACCCCGTTTGGCGATTTCTGCCCTTTCCTGTCAACAAATTTGAATAACTTTTGCCCAATTTATAATATAAATCACCATGTTTTCCAGCTATTATTGGGCCAGAGCCGCTTCATTCCGGATAAGAATCTCTGCTTTGCGCGCCTGTACATGACAAAGTAACCCCCATAGCTAAATATGCTATCCTCCCAGAATTGAAAACGTAGTACTTTCCAAATGGTCCCAAGCTTCGTTACCTCTTTTTCCCAATCGCACCTCATGGTAATGGCAACCAAAATCAAAGTTTGAACGATTGTTCCACCCAACATTCCAGTCCACATGCCCTGACAATGAAAAAAAATATCATAATTAAAAACCAGAAGGAGCTGGGAATAAAGTGCGGCATTGATATCATAATACAACAATGATATTGTAGTAACTTCGATAACAGCAACAGTACACGTACAGTAAGATCCCAAGGTAACAACCAGCCCAGGAGAATACCAAGAGGTATCCCCACCAAGTAGTAACTACCCATGTTTATATAAGCCACCAGAGCTTGCCAACCACATCCAACTGCTACTCCTGCATATCAGCACATGCCACCATGTGGTGCAACATTAGAAATTTACGCTGTGAGAAGTGAAAGCACAAAAATAGATACACTAATGATACACCGAATGATAAGTGTTAAAGATCAATAATTTCAGGTCCCAAAAAGGATTAA